CGCCGGTCTTTTATTCGTTTGTAAACGAATTTCATTGATCTGGAGGGAGGGAACTGTCACGAATCCTTTCGCTGTATAACCGACGCATTGGCCAGAAGCGAAACTATTCGCGCGACGCCGCCGGTTCGTGGTCCCATTCAGAGATAATCGTTCGCTTTGTCGGCAACTTTTCTCCCTCCCCCACCTCTCGGAAAATGGCCGCGTTAACTCGCGCGAGAAGTCGAAAAATACCCTTCTATCCATTCCAGGACTGCCACGCACGATCACTGTTACCGACAAAATTATATTCGTGCTATAAAACAGATTATTCTCGAACCACCAACCATTCTAAATCAAACTATTGGCTCGAGTCACGAGTAACTTTATTTCTTTGTTAAAAGAGTTACTCCATTATTAAATACAACCTTTGTTTTTCTGTACATGGTCGTCGCTATTGAATTTTTAAAGAATGGTAAATCAGGACGAAGATACGAGTACGCGATCGACAAAAGATGTCGCGTGGGGCTCGGTTACGAAGGAAGCAAGGCGGAAAGTGGATGCCCGAGTATTGATCTACGGTCTTTCCGTCGTGCTTTCGGCCCTCGAGAGATCCCAAGATGCTAGACGAAACTGAAAAGAGTAACACGCACAGAACTCTGAATCGAGACTCGTGTCGCAATGATCGAGATATCGAGGAAACAGTCTCCTTGGTTGGTTCGTTGGACGAAAAAAAAAATGGGGAAAGGTCGAGTTTGGTCGAGAGAAAATGTTCTCCTTCGCCGAGGACGGTCGTAGGTGTCGCAAGACGAATTAGAAGTCGATATCTCGCGGTTCGACGACAAAAGCCGCGAGTTTGTTAAATCGGTCGAGTCGATTCCATAATTCATAAGGAGTCGGGGTTTCTTTTATTCATGGTACCGCTCTATCCATCGACTGGACGTGACCAATGAATTACCGTGTCCTCTTCTGCGGCCCGTTTCCATCATGGCGTGTACGGGCTTACGTCCGTCTCCAGTCAACAAGTGATACCTATCGATCCTTCTCCGACCGTTTCTCGCCCCCGTTTCCGTCTCCTCGATCCGTGTATCCATTTTGTTCCCTTCTCTTCGCCTCTCGCGTTCGTTTTCTCGATTACTGGGTCAGCTGCCACGTTATACGTTATTCGCGAATAAAATTTGCCCGGCCTCGCGTCGCAGATTGCAGTTTCGCGAGTTATGTTTCGCGGTTTAGACAACGTTCAACTCCAAGAAAGTAAACCGCGGAGTTACCTTGAACTTTGTGCGCGTATTAAACCTCGGAAGCTGTTCGAAATACAGGATGATTCTGGTAATTAGGTCACGCTGCAGCGAAAAGAATGAACGACCAAACAACGCGATAAAAAATTGATATTAATTTTTCTAATTTTGCAAACCGTTTGAGAAACACGGTGGGACTGTTTTAAACACTGCGTTCGTCTTTGGTGGGTCGTTTGATCTCTGGAACTTGGACAGAGTCGGCCTTAGTCGCGATAAAGATGCAGAAACGATAACGAGCTTTCTCGTGACGAGGTATTCGTACCGGAGAGACGACTTTTCAATCGCCTAATCGCCTTAACCGCAACTCGAAGGCTTCCCCGACGCTTTGCGACGATTCCTCGGCCCCCTCTGCGCGTTGATTTCGAGTATCGTCTACTCTACTTACGTTTGAAGTTGAGACTCCGACATCCATTCCGCTGGACGTTCCAAGCCACATGGTTAGAGGGTCGTTTTGCCCCACGAAGAAGCTGCGATGTAGGAACACTTTCCTCAAAGGCCTTAACTTAAAATAAAAATCAAATTCCGCTTTAAAGGGATCGCCAAAAGGTTTTCTTCGTTTAAAAATTTCCTTCGGAAGTTAACGTCGTGTCAATTTGTCAACCAACTGATTAAAAGTTATAAATAAAAATTGCTATCGAGAACTGGTACTCCTAATCTTCTATCCGTGTTTACAAATGCATTGCCTCGAAGAGACACGAAAGTTTTCGATATTTTTCCGTGTACAGTGTCGGGGGTAGGACGCCAGTCGATGGAATTTAATGAAAATTGAAGAGACGTCGGTAGAAACGAGACGCCGCCGCGCCGGTTCGCGAGAGGAGATATCCTCTCTCTGGTCTTCATCCTTTTCAAATGATCCTGAAACCGATCAAGAAGGAGAAGACGCGGGAACCTATCTGCCCGTTCTTTGATACCCTCGACCGATCCAATAAGGATCAAGAGGGGAGCCCGGGAGATCAGAGAACCGGAGACCGTTATTATGGGAATTTTTATCGGCGAGAGAACCCGCGTTTCGAAACGGGTAATTCTTCTGCCGCCATGAGCTATCGCTTATCGTTCGACGCGATAAGATGCTATCGAGGCCGCCGGAACGTCGGGACGCGACAATGACGCGTTTCTGGACGATAAATCCGCGATAGCGATCGTTCTCGTGGGAAATTTTTAATCTCTGCACGGCCAAGGTTCCATCCTCTCGGACCCCACATATTTATATATATATATTTTTTACCTCAAGATTGAATAAACAGGAGGCAATCTGAGATCAAAGATTTGAATTGAGCCTATATAGTGCCTAGAGTAAATTTTATACAAAATGAAACCTACAGTGTTTTGTTTTCGTCCTGAATTTTTCCATTCGAGTTCGGTTGTTTATTCCAGGAGCACCGGTGCATAAGGACAGAGTTAATCGTACAATGGAACCAATTTATTCTTAATCTCGGCCGGCAGAAAGAGAGACGAGAGTAACTAGCGTAAGTATCGATCCCGGAAGCCACACCTCGACGCAGAGCGACGCGGAGTTACGCGTTTCCGCGATTACGTTCAAAGTTCTACGTCCCTAGCACGGAACTTTCCGCGTTCCTTTTCTCGTTGCGATCGCGAAACGTCGCGAATATTACGTTCGCGATTTATATTCGTTTACGAAGCGCCCCGCCATTCCCATCGAGGTCTATTGAACAATCAAACTACGAAAGAGGACTTCGTTTATAGTTCGTACGAACAGAAAGTTCCCACAAGCACGATTCTTATCGACGAACACTTATTATTGGACCAAGATCGTTTATGCGCTCAAAAAATATCTTTCGTATTGTTAACGTTGGAACTATAGATAATCGTTCGTATCAAGGAAATTTCACGAATCGGTGGGCAAAGTTGTTTTAAAAACACTGTATTCTAAAAATGCCTCGAGTTACATCGTAATGGATTTTACGTATCGCTGTCGAGGCCGTAATTTGCCATCGATCGTTACGTATCGCTGTCGAGGCCATAATTTGCCATCGATCGACGAGACAGGGGTTTGATTTCGAAATTTGTCGTATAATTTTCTTTCCTGGCGCTTCCAAAAATAACCGTGCGACCTGTGTGCCCGAGTGTTGTTTAGCAGAGAGAACGAAGCGCGTCAGAGACGACGATTTTCGCGTAGATTCGATCCGCGGCCTCACTTGACATTAATTAAGGCCGATCCGACGAGACCGTTGTATTGTATCGCGAGGAATGTCTCTTCGTTGACCCTAATGAACGTCACGATCGCGCAAACTGTCGCGGATGCAAACGATACTCCGGCCATTCGTGAATCGATCCCACTCGTTCAGCGTTGCTCGGGGTGATATCCTGTGCTCGAATAATTTCGCTGTCGCGTTCGAGATCACTCCAGGCGTTGCACGTTGATAATGGTAATCGTAATCGAGACAAATAGCCTTTTGTTATTCTTCGAGATTCTCGTTGAAATTCACAGCGTCCGAGAAACCTGAACAGCCGATAGATCGGATACGGTAGGTTTATTTTTGGAAATTGCCCCGTACATCAGGGAAGAAAATACTACCATAAATCCGAAGTCGGACGGTGGAACAACTTCCCCAAGATTTATATTTGTTTCGTCGATTAATAATAAAGGATCGTTGGCGGGAGATTCTCGCCGGCCATATAAGATCAAGTGGTGGTCGCGAATGCATGAATAAACGACGCCAACGTGGACCGAAACAATAGACTATTTAACCGAAGGATGAAGAACGTTAACGGCGACACGGAATAATGGATCAGGAAGTGGAAACACTTTGCAGACAGTAACCGTGAAAACAAAGAATATGAAGTTTATACCGGTGTCGAACAATGAAGATGCAGATAAAGCAATTACCGCCAACAGATGGGGACGTCGAAGAAGAGAAACACCTGTCCGATAGAAACTGAAGAAACGGAAAAATAGACGTCTGTAGAAATAGAAAATAAGATACCGCGAAAACATAGAGTCGCTCGAACTGTTTGGTCCGAAAGGTGCTTCGTTCGCCCTTCTTTTATTTCGTGGAAAGGGCGCGAGAGTATATTTACAATCCTCCTCTCGTACAATGAAACTGTATAAAAGATACAATGTACAAGCTCTTAACGATGCCATAAACCAAGAATAAAAAAAGGTCCGCGTATCTTACGGCGCTGGACCGGCAGTTAAATCGTTCCCTCCGTTTTTAACTGCGAGTTATCTCGAACGGCGGCAACAGGGATGGCTGTAAAATTGCTTGAACCGTTCTCCGTGGAGCTCGAAACGTTACAGGCGTTGGTTAACTAAAAAACGGCCCTTCGAAAAGCTAATTGGCCCCTCCCTCGGTTGGTCGCGCAAAAATCCGGATCCCTAATGGCGTCGTTCGTATGCGACGCGACGCTACCGAGCCGATGCAATTTGTTCAACGACCGTGAAGATCGTTTGCACGATACCGCGACAATTCTCCTTCCGCGTCTTCGTTCGTTTTTTGAACCATTGTTCCCCGTTCGCGTTACAGGGCTAGACCGAAGACACTCTCGCATGGAAAGTCATTTTGATATTGGGTTCAATTTTGGGGAGGCCTCGCCCTCTATTATGGCTAGAATAATTAATATTTTTCTACGAAATTTTTACAAGAAATAGTTGAAGAAATGTACTTTCGAAAACGTTGATTTTGTTCGACCATTTGTTAGGATGTTGCCTTGGAGCAGCGATTTAAAACACGTTAGTAAATTGTTATTTTGAATTTTCTGTTACAGTGAGATTGCACGACAGCATACAGGAGGAGAACTACCATTACCTCGTGTTTGACCTGTAAGTAGAGAGGGACGAGATCATTCGTAGATTAAGGGCGGAATGGACGTGGATAACGTCGGGGTCGAAAAGTTTTCTAATCGAGTTAATCGCGCCGCGCGTTTTCGTCCGGGCGTCGAGTACAACGAATCATCCTCGAAATCGGCAACGAACCATCGGTCCGGGGGCAAGTTTAATTTAATTTCGACCGAAGTTACCTCGGCCCGATTGAATTCTCTGTACCGGCCAAAATTCGCGTAAGGTCCGCCGGGCACACAATGATCGAAAACCTCGAAGGCCTGTCGACCCGGCCGAGCGTCGCTCCGACAAAAGCCGTTATTTTCGAGTCACCGAGTCGTTACTGGCCCGTCTATGGCCGGACCAGCGACCATCAGAACCCGGAGCCTCTAATTTGCGATGCGTCGATATCGAATATCGGGTCCGCGAACACTCGTACTTTGCGCGAATTAGTGTTTCGACGCCTCCGAAACACTTCGACGGGCTCGAAAAACGGGCAAAGTGATGGGTTTCGATTCTACACAGTTTGCAGATCTATCGTACGATGTCTCTGACAGAGTTCAACTTCCAATCTGTGATCCATTGATATCGAATGTTGATTTGGAAGACTTGTCTGTACTCAGAATTCATTTTTTTAAATAGGTAAAGTGGTGAGTTAGGTTTGACAAAGTTTGCAGAGGTATTATATAACAGTTCTAATTTCGAATGGTAGATATTTTTTAAAAATCAACAAAGCGGTGAGTTTCCGTTTGACACAATTTGCAGATGTATTATACGATGTTAGTTAGTCATACGAATTTAAATACTTGCACGGTACCAGGAATTATTCTGCGACCTGCAGTCTGCAACTTGACGTCACAAGTAGGGACGAATGTTATTCTTGTTAACAACCACATAATCCATTATTAAATTTCCTTTTAACCCGGGAACGTTGTCATAGCATAGGTGGTCATAAAATACTTAAAATTACAAGCAGAACCGAGTCGTAGCAATTTCTAAATTTTCATAGAAAATAGAACACACGCTTGGAAATCTACCCCCTGAAATTGCAAGTTCAAACATTTATTTCGCGACGATAATCTGTAATCTGAATAAAATTCTATCTCAATGAATTCTTCCAACAGTTCTGCAAGCGTGTCGTATAAGTATAATGCTTCCTATCGTCTTTCCCCCCTCTTCTCTCGAATCGCGAGCGACGGCGGTGGTCGTTAATTTGTAGTTGTTAATTAGTCGGTCGCTGATTGTTCGAACGGTCCGTTCTCGTGAATTTTAAGCAGCCTCGATTTGCATATTAATGAATCCGCATGGTCGTGTCGATATTCCGCGACGGAAAGTATAGCGATATTTAATCGCGAGTTCGAGCGGAAGAATTCATCGGAGCATTCTTCGCGCTAAACTTTCTCGCAAAACTTGCCCGACGAAGGACTGTATAATTGATAATCTACATTTTCGCGGACCGTCCATTACTTGGAACCTTGATTCCCTTGCAACTGAATCGTTTCTAGTGGCCCAATTTCTCCTAATTGCTAATAGGGTTCGTTGCCCTTTTCTGTTTACTCATTGATAAACGTACAACGTTTCAATACTGTTAGAAGTTTACGACAGTAATATCATTCTCGTTATTATTGCTTAGTTTCATATTTATGAACTCTAACACAAGCTTGGAGTGAATGGGTAAAAAGACAGTTTGAAATTGGTGAAGTAGATATTTTTATTCGAGTTAAAATTTTCTTGCAATGGCAAAACATTGAGTTTGCTTCGCTGGTATGGTTCCAAAGTTAAACTCTTGAATCTCCACTCGTGTAGCGCAAGGAAAAAAGAAACTGAAATTTAGAGAAATTCAAAGACTGTCTGTCAATGTTTGCTCGTTTGGTTTTCAGAGTAACCGGCGGAGAACTGTTCGAGGACATCGTCGCGCGGGAGTTCTACAGCGAAGCGGACGCCTCGCATTGTATTCAACAAATCTTGGAAAGCGTACACCACTGCCATCATAATGGAGTCGTGCACAGGGACCTGAAAGTACGTAAAGAAACGGGAATTCGACCGACGTCTCTAGCGCCATGCTTGAGAGGTCCCAGAGTTAGGTTTTCGTTAAATTGTTTCCATTAACGATCGAAATAACCAGCCAGAGGAAAGTGGAGAAGTATTTTTCATGCAGGTAACGCGGGGAAATTATTCTGTACAGGGTGATTCCGGTAACTGGACGAGGCTATAACTCTCTGTCGAGTAAAGATAGGAAAAAAATCGCGGTGAAAAAGTTTTGCTCCGTTTTATGACTTCCATTATCTTATGGTTGAACGTTTTTCTTGAGCTCTGGCAATTTTTTGTAGCTCGTTTACTTTTCACAAATTGGTTACCCGAGTCTTTACAAGGTAATCGAGAACTCAATAATTTTAGTTGTCTACTAGATTTTGTGAGGGTTTGTGAAATAGAGAATGATTAAATATTTACTCTTTTTACTCTTTGAGTGTTTCAAAACAACGATAATAAATCTCTCGATGAAACTTGATCAATTTCATTAGAAAACGAAATTTACGGGCGTCTAAGAATATTACAGAACATCTCGATCCCGTTTCATCTAATAAAAACTCTCATTCGTCGGGGCGGTAGTTTCAGAAGAATTGATTTAATATTTTAAGACGCCATATTGAAGGGATCCTCGAGTTTCCCAGATCCGAGCGTCCAGAGAGGGTCGTAGGAAAAAGTTTAAGAACCACTGATCCAGAATCATCCTGTATAGACGTCGTAATTCGACTTCGATAGATTCTCGAAACTCGTTTACCGACAATATCGAGGATTCTGGGGGAAACGAAGTCGCGCGAATCTCGCGGGGCTGAGGGATAGGAAAGGGGGGGAAATTAATCCGTCGAAAGACTAAAGAGAAAATCGGGGGGAGAGGAAAAGAGAGGAAGAGGGCCGTACGAAAAGTGGCGTTTCACGGGACGGAGAACGTGGCACCGTATAAGGTAGATTCGCGATGTGTGTCAAGCATGTACGCGCGAGTACATATGTCTCCTGTTGGTGGATCAAGCTACAGCATGGCCGCGCGACAACTGGCTACGATTTGCACGATGAACGTGCAGGAATGTCGACGAGTCTGCTTCCTGTTGCAGCCTGAAAATTTGCTGCTCGCGAGTAAGGCGAAAGGTGCGGTTGTGAAATTAGCTGATTTTGGATTGGCGATCGAGGTGACGGGCGACACACAGGCATGGTTCGGTAAGTCCATCCTCCGTCTTAATATTCTCTTTTTCTATCGTTTAACGCTAAACCTATCATGATCGGTCAAATGACCAAGTCGATATCGTCGTTAGATAAAAAAAAACAATTATTCACGAAAAAATGGTATAGTAATTATAGAAACATCCTGTATACAAATTTAGATTCATCTTCAATTAAATAACTAGTCGTATAATCGATAAGAATTGCTGAAACATCATTTAGTATGTAACGTCAAAGTAAACTGCAAAATAAACATAGAAGACAGCATAAAAGATAGTAGTTGTTATAGTCATCGGATAGGGGATGAAATGCCCTTTAAAATGAGCGTTTGTACCAGTCGATAGCGTTATTAGTTCCGGAGATATGAGGATTTTAGTTTCAAGTCGATGCGGTGGCTAGTTTCCGAGATATAAGGGTTCGAAGTTTGTTTACGTTCCATTGACGCGAGATGAATGACCGCGCGCGCGTAAATAGTAAACAGTGCGTAGTAAATTCTTGGAAATACTACGGAACTGGGTCACGACAGTCACGTCCGTGGGGTAGGTCAGCACGACGCACGAGCGAGCGAGAGGTCCGACGCGCCAGACGAAGACAGAGATAGTCGAATTAAGAAAAATTACCTTTTACATAAATTACGATATCTCGGAAACGGAAAGTCCGATCGACAAAAACCAAAAGCCATTTTAAAAGGGAGGCCTTGCCGCTACTAACGACGCCTCAATCATGGATAAAACACTAGTAGTTTTGGAACTGCAAAGGTCTAAAGTTTATGTATTTTTAATACACGTTAATAGGCCTGTGTAACGCGGACAGCGAGACACGGCGGAATTTTAAAAATTACGCTTCTCTTTACACGATGATATCTCGAAAACGGAAAGTCGGATCGTCAAAAACCAAAAACCACTTTAAAGGGGAAACCTTCCCGCTCCCAACAGTGGTTTAATAATGAATAAAACACTAGTAGTTTCGTAACTGCAAGTGTGTAAAGTTTAACTGTTTTTAATACGCGTTATTAAATAGTGGAAACTGAAGATTCTCTCCTTTCATCTTTGCTATATATTTCCTATTTACAAATATTGTCCGGTTTTTTACAAACAAATATAAATCGTCGTCGTGGTAGGTTTAGTGTTGAACTATCGTTTGCGTCCGCCTACTTAGTCCTTTCGTGGCCAGACTAAATACTTCCTACCACTGTTTTAGTTAGATATTAATTGTTATTGTCAATATAAAAACCTATGAAAGTGTCTTCGAGAAACTAGGAGCAGGAAGAAGTTCGATGGAAAAATAAATGGGTGTTCCGAAGCAGTCGCAAAGGTGCTAAACAATCGGTGCAATTATTCGAAATTAAAGGTCCTCTTTCGTGGTAATTACGATCGTCGCGCGGTTCCGGTTCGAATTGAAAACGGGCGCAAATTACAGTGACGGGGGTAGCAAAATAAATTCGTTCGCGGACAAATTTACGTAACAAATGGACGGTTTGTTTTGCATTCGTTTTAATTTCCGGGACGAGGGCGGGGGCGGGGCAAAGGAAGACGCGAAAATCGTCGGGCGAAAAAGGCTGGGAAGAATAAAATTCCTCCGCCAATGTTCCCGTCGTTGAAAGCAACGCGTACTCCTCCTTTTCGCCGACCGGTTTCTAGGCTGTTGCGATTCGAATTCGGCCGTCGACATTTTTCATTCATTTACCGCTCGCGACCCCGATTCTTGCCGGTTTAATGCGCGTTTATACGCGGCATGTCGCGTTAAAACGCCCTCGTTCGACTGCCTGTTCCCGTTTGTTTTCACGCCGTGGAAACTCCCCCAAGTTTTACCCGCGCTATTGGAAAACTCGTCGTATTTTCGCGGGCAAAATAGATTCCGGGGTCTGAGATTTTCCGCGTATTGTGCCCGCGGTCGTAGAATTCTCCGGCTACGACATTTTATCTCCATTTTTTGTCGCGAACAATTGAAGCAGATCGCTGTATCTCTGTCCTGAAACTTAAAAATGACTTTCGAAACTGGAGTCTGGATCCAAATTCGTCCCGAGCAACGTTCTGTGAAATAAAAAACATAGTGGGTTTTGGGAATCGTTGATTCGGAGGTTCGCGCGTCCGCATGGCTCGGTGTCCGCGAGCGGGAATGAAAATTTTCGTCTTCACGGTTCTATTTACGCTCCCCGAGCGACCACGGAAGGGGTAAAAGGTAAAGAACAGCGTCCAGCTCGCTGGGAACGAAAATTATTGTCGACTTTAATCGACAGGCAAAATAGTTTGCAACGCTCGGGCATTTGTTTGTATGTAAATCGCGTTGCAAAGAATTAATTATTGCACGATATCAGAATTCTTGGAGAGCTGCACATGTTGGTCTCGTAATTTCAGAATAATTAATTTAATATTACAAACAAAGAGCATCGAATTTCTTTCTTCTCTTGCTGCTTTCAGCGATCACGAAATCTTCTATTAAGACAGTATCATAACCCTCTACTGCATAATGACACAATTAGGAACTCGATGAAAACAATTCACGTACAATTTTCGACAAAGAATTCATTATTTACTTAGAGTATTATTTGACGGACGCAAAAATGGCGAGCAAAGTAGTTTACACGTGGTTTAACCATTGCTGCGATTGAATGGGAATGTTTGGTGGAAAGGTTTCGCCGGAACGCCCGGTTACCTCAGTCCGGAAGTCCTCAAGAAGGAACCTTACGGCAAACCAGTCGACATCTGGGCGTGTGGTGTCATTCTTTACATCCTCCTCGTCGGTTATCCGCCGTTTTGGGACGAGGACCAGCATCGGCTGTACGCGCAAATCAAGGCTGGATCGTACGACGTAAGAACCCCGCCTACGAGCACCCTTCCTTCATGATTCTTCGAGGACGTTCTTCCGGAATCTAATATCCGTGTTAAATCGATTTACCCTCCCCGTTCGATCTCCAAAGACGGTCTAAGATTTCGACGCGTCGAATTTCAATTCGAGAGCAACTCTGATTCAAAATTTTAATAATTTTCCGTCCCCAGTGCAATATTTGAAACGAATAAATGTTCCAAAACGTGTAATATAGACCCTTGCACTCGTAAAAATATCGAGTTGTTTGCGTTCGGAGGAACATGTCGAGATACTCGTGGATCTTGAACGCGGGGGAGGCTCGATCTTCCGTAAACAGCGAATGAATCCACTTCCTTGTTTATCCGGCAGTACCCCAGCCCAGAATGGGACACCGTCACGCCGGAAGCGAAGAATCTCATCAATCAGATGCTGACGGTGATTCCCAGCAAAAGGATCACCGCCAGCGAGGCACTGAAGCACCCATGGATCTGCGTAAGTACAACGATCTCTACAAACTACCATCGATCCTTGTTCGGTTACCTAACCTACGACCCGTTTCTTTCGTCCCAAAAATAACTACCCCTCTATCCATCGTCTCGAAATATTCCCATCTTCTCACACACGTGACTTTCAACCCCTGAAATATCCCCGAATTTTCTGCTGTTTTTTGGAGGGCCTCAACCGTGAAATTTCCCGTGCAATAATTTGATCCTTGGCGCGCCAGCTCCGCAAAATAATTGTAAAATATTTGGAGCTGTCCGCGTAACCGTGTTGAACGACGCTGCCGCGTTCGGCGCAATTCGACGCACAATAAATCGTCACGGTTATGGCCCCCATTATTCTCCGTAGTGCAACTGCTAAACGAACAGTGGGAACAGCGTCAGGTGTCATTAACACGTGTCCTTCGTTTCTGTGTTACAGCAACGCGAACGCGTCGCATCCGTGGTCCACAGACAAGAGACTGTGGATTGTTTGAAGAAATTCAACGCAAGGCGCAAATTAAAGGTGAGCTCCATCGTTTCGTTAACCCTTTCGTTCCCATCGTGGGAATATTTTTTTGGAAACGAAGGGGTTAAACGATCCCGTTCGAGTGGACGTGTAATCAGAGGGTGGATACGGGCCCGCGAGTTTCTCGATTAATACAATCCGCCGCGAGAACATGTTGCCTAGCGTCGTCGAACTCTGCTTAACTAGTTACACGCAAGTTTCGATTCAGGACATCGGGCGTGTTAAGGTGCGTCAGCCCGTTAAATGATCTATAGCCGTGTCGCCTGCCGGGATAAGCTAGTGTTTAGCGTTTAATCATTGCCCCGAACCCTGGTACCACGCGACCTGGTCAGAACTCGAAATTGAGTTCCCTTTGTAACCGAAGCATTTCGATCCGGGGTCCCCTTCGTCGGCGAAAATTCGCTCCAATTTATTTCCCTCTACAGCCAAGTGATTTTAACTTATTTCCCCCCTGAAATTGTTCGAGTGGTCCAAAGGATCGCTATTCCACAAATAAAAAACATTATTAATCTAGTTATTTATTCGACGAAAAGCCGTTTATGGTAGCTAGCGATTGATTTATACATGTGCGAACAGTTGCTCGTTAATATCCGTGGTATCGCGTTAATAGCTACTATAATAGAGTTTGCTACATGGCTTTTATGGCCTACCATATATCTCATGGACAATTTAAACGTGAATTTTACATAGACCCCGTCCATTATCAGTTCGCAGGATACAAAATCTTTGTTTTATCCGGTTAGATTTTACCGTAATAACAATGGGTTGTTACGGTTGATCGTATTTCTTATCGAACGATTCTCTTATTAAGCTAAAACCAAAGATCGTATACTGCTTTAATGATAATGGCGTTTCTAGGACGACAAAGGAACGTTATAATTGTCGATGCATTATTCGTTCGCTTTATGACCTTCCTGGGGAACATTCGCGTGCGGTACGCCTAATCTAAAACCGGTACGAGTGGACGTGACACAGACGAGCATGAATCCATTGATTAAATTCGTGTATTCGTTTCTAAAAAGTGTCAGAGATATCCCAAATTATACTCTGTTCTATGTGGTTAATATTTCGTTTTAATACAGAATTATTCAAGTAAATTCTGTCATACATATAATTCCGAAAACATTAGAGTAGTAGGGAAACAAATTATATACCGTTCAACATTTTAATAATGCTGGAAAGTACACGAATTTCGTGCCAGCCAAAAATGGAAAAGTTTGTGCTACTCGAGTCTGTTATCTGATAAGAAGGTCGAGCGTATTTACAATTTTCTTAGGCTGAAATTGTATTCTGCTACGCAGTAGAGGTTGGTCGCCACGGTTGTATACAAGGCAGAGGAGGAAAAAAAAAATGTTTGCGAGCCTTGTAATGGTCACGGAACTGTCGAGAAACTTTCTGGCGAGCAGAGGTTAGAGATAATAAATCGCTCGACGCGTATTGGCTCTACCTGCTGAGGACACTATCCCCATCCCCACCGTTTCGGTTTTTGTTCTTAGCATCGATTCATACCTTCGCGGCGATCGGAGACGACAACGTCAGAGTTTAACACCGTCATTGATTAGAAATTCGTGGATTTTCTACCGACAGTCTAGCCTCGACGCGTTGCAATTGTAACTCTAACGAGAGTCGTTTGATGACACCAGTGAATCGATCGCGACGCGTGTGCGTTTATGCGTGTCCCGTTGTTTGTGAACGGTATCGTCTCGAGTGCTACGCATTGACGATCGAGTCTAACCAGTGCCCGTCAATGATAACGATTTCTCGTCAAATATGTGCCAAAGATACCACGAAATTAGACGGATTTTTCTCAATTTTTCTATGACAAGTACAGTACCTCAATTTTGCATTTCGATCGCGAATAGATCTCTCTGTCGAGTCGTTTCAATTTTAGAGAGAATTCAGGTTATGTTAAGTTAGACTAGATGAAAGAAATATCTTCGATACGATTATAGAAGCAGCGATAGGAATTATTATAAAAGGTTAGTGTTAGAGATGGTGTATCGACTATTGATTTACGAACATAGAACACAGTCGTATCGAGTCACGTGGATGGTTATGTTGCTCGTCGTGACGTCATACCTAATACATATACTTATAGATTCCTGATGTCCACGTGCGCTGTCCATCGTACTCCATAATCACACGTTGTCTACTAATTATCGTATCTTCGTTTTCTAGAACATTTCGTAGGAAGTAATTCTCCACTTGTATTAAATATATTAATTATTACTTTTCTTCGTTTGCTGTACGAGCATCCCCCATTCTCAATTCTCATCGCACAGTATCGAATCAGCAGAACATAGAAATTAACATTTATTATCAAATATATTAGAGGAAGAGTACATTTGAAATACCCATCTTCGATCCTCGTTGTACAGTACCAAATGCGAATACACGAATCTCCGTTGCACCTGTGTAAATTATAATTTATAATCGTGGCAACGACACGCGTAGCTCATTAGCCACTTGTCCCCTCCGTTCGCAGCGTGCTATTAAATTCGCACGCGTGCTCCATTAGAACGAAATATGTTTGTTGGGCGCGTGCACGGTTGGTTTCAATCCGTTTGAAAGCTGGCTCGCCACGGGGATAAAACGGAGCCGTACGATAAATATATCTGATCCGCTGATAAGACGATGGTATCGACTGGCTCTGCGGGGTCGTAACTATTCGAACGGTCGTACGTCTTGTGGTTGGCAGTGATTGAGTAAGCCTCGCATCGGGCATATCGGCTGCAACGGTATTCGCATAAATAACAATCGTTCCCGTCGGCGGCTGGGCTCCTTCCAGCAAGTATAATATAGCTTTTCGGTGTTGTCGGCCTGATCGACGCTATCGGGACGCACGGTTGGACGAACGGAGTCGCACGGTGAGCTTTACGATCACGCGATCCTTCCACTCCAAACGAACGTGATTAGCGTTTCCAGCTAATGACGATTACCCCCGCAGAACACAAATTAAGCACACTACCGCCTCTCTCGAAAAACCAATCGCTTGCTCGTTCGTTCGATTAGAAATTAACGATAGGATATTGTACGATTGTTCTTGAACTGAACGTGAAGGAGAATCGATTTGTTTTGAAACGTTTACAACAACTAACGATTTAATTTTGCGTTGGTGCGGGTGCAATCGGTTAGAACGTCAAATATTAAGAAATAACACGGAACGCAATTACATCGAAATTATTGTATAATTTCGTATTAATCGTGGGATGAAAGGCTTTACGGGCAATATACATTTATTCGACCAGCGGTATTTAATTCCAAACGTTAACGTTTTCGATCAATTTAATGCTCATCAGACGCGTTACATATGAAATTAATTTAATTCCAAACGTAAACGTTTCCCACCAATTTGATTATCATCTTCGGATAATTATTTGTAATAATTGCGTTGTAACGTATGTAATTGTTAATCTCTTTCGTTCGAAAAAGGAGGGCGAATTCGAAATTCAGTTAACCTTTTTTCATATTCAGGAAGCGTCATCGTGGTCGTGTTCAGCGAAACATATTGACTTATCTGCATTCGTAACAGATAATTAATAGTCAGCAGGAGTAGTTATGCGTAACAAAGCAATAGACAATGTCTCGATCAACGTCACTTTTCATTCCACTCAGGATGTGACAATCTTAAAGACTATTCAGCCTAATATTTCTAAACTTCCAGACACCATTAGTCCCACCATCGAAGTATTCAATGTTTCTAGTTACCACATAATAATTTTAACAATCGAGAGTAAATACGTTCCATATTACGATTTGATATTTTGCAAATATCAGCTGCCACGAGAGACGAAGTTTCGATGATCGATCGTCAAAGTTAATTTCGTTTAATGGACTAGTCGCAGGACTTTTTCGGATTAGAATAGGACGGTTGGAGATTAGAGCGTAAAAATTGGATGAAATACAAAGCTAGTGTGTACGTATGGAATTATGGGCACGAAGTTCCCCATAGAGACCGACGTGTTTCAAATATTAAGCATCGTAGTCGCTAATGTTTCCGTGATCAGTTGTCGGTGTTAACTTTGGTTAATGGTCGTGGAACTTCGGAATAATTAGAGAGTATTGGAGATTATGGTGTCGTATTTCAATGAACTGCCAGGGACAGTTATTGTGCATTTGCTTTACAGCGAACCCGACGTCTTCCAAAGAGTAATGGTCATCGCGGCCTAAACATTATTGATGGACTCGTTATTCGAGAATGTCAGATTTAAATATAAACTCATCGTGTTCGATCGACTCGTGCGTATAACAAAATTCTCAACGTCGAATATCTAGCGACGTTTCGTGCAAAAATCGAAACGATAGGTACTGGTAATCGACGATAAAATTAAATCGACCGAATTTGCGTGGGCGTGTTCGTGTTTTAAAAACGTCGTCGAAGACACTCGCGAAGTGAGAATCGAGTGCGTGGAAATTGGATCGAGAAAAGGTGGGAGGATCCAGAGGAGACGAAAAATGAGGGCGTTGAAGAGGAAGTTCGTGCTGTGCAGGCAACAGGAGGCGACCATTCCCGAGGTACTTGCCATCTCTTCGTGTTCCATTAATGATCGACGAATTATTAACGGGTGTAATTTAATCAACGCGAGCCCGGAAACTCGAAACTTGTTGCGAGCAGTTTCATTCTACACGCTCTTTGTTCTCTCCCTTCGTTTTTTCGAGGCTCAAAGGGACACTGGAACGCGCACGGTAACCTTGATAATCTTCGATCAGACGCAACGCGCGCCCCGTGTTTCTTTTTTCACGCTGGAAAACCTCGCTTTGATGTTTTTGAGACCTTTTCGACGTACCCTGCTATCGATACGAGAGAATCGTAAATTATTCGACCATATTTGAAATCGTCCAGGGACTGGACGCGTAAGAAAATCAACTAGGTGAAGTAGAAAAATAATTATACGTTCTGGTACTTGATAAAATTGCAAAATAATTAGATTCTTGACCTCTGTCGGGATACTGGCATAGCAACCGATGAATCGCCTATCGCGAATCTTTTTATTCTTTGGATCCTTTTACGGTTCTTAACTGTTTATATCGTATTCATGAGACCGAGAAACTTTCTTGTTTTCGAAGCCCATTTGGATAAATGAAATATACATGAATCTCGACACTTTCACTGTCCCCTGACCCACACGTGGGCCACGAAGGTTTCGATTCAGAAATCCGCTGAATATTGCGACACATATATACATATCGAATCACGTTCGAACCAGCATCGATGCTCAAGGTCGCCATATCGAACATTTATCGGTTTCGTTCGAAAGACGATCTATTAAAATACTCGTTCTTTTCTGAATAATTTTTACATATCTTTAGTTTGCAGAAAAGTTTATTTTCCTCGAAGAATCGCGTGCTCGCTTTGTCCCTGACAAATATTTCGCAATAAAATCGACGAGGGTTTGAAAGTGATTTTGTCGAACAGTTCGATGCACTCACTTTCATAATAAATAGGTAATGATAATTGTTTTCGATTTTATACGAAATAATAATACACGGGAATCAAATTTCTGTTATGGAATATAATAAAATACAATCCAGCGTACGTGAATATTTTGTCAATAGATATTGCCTGGAATAAATTTTCCCCGACAGATGAGAATTGAATCTACGAACGAGCGTCGCGGATCTTTCGATAGTTCGTTCCGGTAAAGTATCGACCTTGGCGAATGATTTACGAGGGTGGCGGGACCAGAGAAACCCTTATTCCTCGTTACTGAAACAAAGTATACGGACCTCGAAGTGCCTTATGAATACAAGAAGTTGAAGTGCAGCCCATGAATATTTAACGGGGAAATGGGGGGGGGTGGAGAGAAAAAGGGAATCGTTGGTTTTCTATTACAACGATAAGAGCGTCGATGCGTTTTAATATTCAGAATACAAATACGCCGTGCGTGTTACGGCGTGCTCTGATCGAGATCGAGTGTTCGGATGGCAAATATTTGTTGCAAATATTTTCACGATACGCGGAACACTTTATTAAACCCTCTACGACTTCGTATCATCGATTATGTATCGCTACTGTGCAGAATTTTAGCTCCAAGATCATAGATTAATCATAGAATAATATAGATATCCGCTATCAGGAATTAGCCTGCTTCGGTGAGTTTATTAAATTTATTTATACATCTGGAAAATGTTACGTAATCTTTTTGATTGACAAAAATTGGAATTTCGTTTATTCCGCGTTAAGCAAACGTGAAAAATACCGTCGTGTATGGTTTTTTTTTTTTGTCCGAGAACGATGCAATTTTTCCGCCCTTTAAACTGCAAAATGAACGCGTTTCGACGCGTAATAACGTCGCGACGAATGCACGCGAGCGAATAACGGGCCAACGACAAGTTTAATGTAGAGAAAAGATACTCGAAATGCAAATTAACAGGCCGGGAAGTTAATCGATCTATCGCGAACGAACGCGTCGCACTCGCGGGAATACTGATAAAGTAGAATTCTTGGAGCGTAAGAAATTAACGGTCGAACGTAACTAATGATCGTGCTCCTCGAGAATTCTGGAGATTTGTTTGCAAATTTCTGTGCCAGTTTCTCGAAAACATATTCGAATATTCCTGGATCAAGGGACAGACGAACAAATAATTTGCGACTAGCCCTGACTTTTAATATTTCTTAGTGTTTAAGTTAGAAAATGATCGGTTCTTGCCTCTTTTAAAGTGAAATGCTCGATCATAATTAAAATTTCAACAAGAACAGTGAGATAACTTGGAATCTCGAGAAGACACAATCGCGTAACGTAACGAAGTTAAACGAAGTAGCAACTCGTGTCATGCGCGAGTCTAAAGTTCACATGTGTAATAACATAATACATCTGACCGGATGTTTCGCGAGACCTCGTGAAAGAATTGAACGTCAGTCGTTTCTGCGCGGTCGAGCTCCGTACGAAACGTTTAACCCTTTCGTTCGTGGCGTATTAACACACTGCACTCGGTGTGTTTCGAAACGGAACGAAGAGCAATTTTACACTGTTATTTCTCGTTTTCATGCGTCTCGAACGCCAATTAAATATGCCTTCGTTCTCCCCCGCTTCTCAACAACTTCGTAAAACGGTACGTTCCGGGAACAAAAATAAAAACCAACAAACTTCCATCTCGGAGAATGAAAAATTACGATCGAAAGAGCGAACAACGCGCTACGAAATATAATTCCAATTAAACGAGTTCGAGATATGGGGAGAAACTATCCTCCTGAGGTCTCGCCAGGAGCTCGATCGTAAGTTTGTTTAATTAGAAGCTCGGTATTTAACCCGTTACGCAGCATCGTTGGTCGTCGGTTGTTAACTGGAACGAATAACAAAGGTCGAGCTATCCTTTTCCCCCGCGAAGTCGTTTACTTTCCCGCGAACGAGGGAGTTTCGTGTTTCGTGATTGATATTCGTTGCCACGAATCTGTTCGTGGGTTCGGTGCCGACTTCTTGTTTGCGTTTTGATGCATTGCGGTCCCTGGCACTGCGGAGAAAGAATGCTCGATACCTAGAATGCAGTTCAAAAGTCTCGAAGGCACCTGTCTATCGTTAAACTCCAGTGGTTTCACGAATTACGTTCATCAGTCTCGCGACTCTCAAATTTTATCGGCTCTAAATGGAGCGAATATTATTACTACTTTACCTAAATAGGAATAAGAGACGCTTAACTACATCTAAACATTTTCTAGAACATCCCCATAGAATTTTCAACCCCAATAGAGATCTCAGAAGGTAAAAGGGAAGGTTCGAAGAAGCTCGATGTCGCGAGGACTCCGATGACCGATGGTGGCGCGAAATAAATTTCTATTCGTCCCGACGTTGAACGAAAAACGGCACTCGGGCCCGTGTCACCCCTCGTCAGCCTTTTCCCCGTCCCAATTAATGCAAGAGAATAATCGCGCGTCGGTTTTTGTCCGCAGGGCGCTATTCTGACGACCATGTTGGCGACGAGGAACTTTTCCAGTAAGTATGATACACAGGGTAAGTACCTCCGGCCCTCTTCAGCGCTTCATGGACCACGACAGACAGTACTTTTATATCTCCTATTAAATTTTACGTCCCCCGTACTTCTCTTTTTTACTTTCTCTGTCGCTCTGTTCTCTCTTTCTACCACTATATATCTATCGTCCTCCACTTCTCTGTCTCTCTTCTTTATGTTCCCTGAATTCATAACCCGTAAACCCGCCTCGTTCTTCATCCGTTTTGCACACCCCTGTTATATATAGAGGATCTCTCTGTTCATCAGCCCTTTCGTTCTTTTCAAGAGGTGCTTCGCGACGTGGCCGCGCGCGCGGTTTCGTTTCGCTTATTAAAACGTTATCGCGGAAACCTCCGCGCCGATGGACGCCATCCACCGTCCGCGTGTTTCCGTCTTTTCTCCGCCAAAGTAGCCAAAAACTAGGCCTTGGGACTTTTCGGTTATTCACCCTCGCGTAACCACGCTACAAAGGGGATTATTTAAATAAAATTCGAACGATATTCGAATAACCAAGTACCCGAATTGAATTCGTCGATAAAATATTCGAACGACAGCGAATACATTCGAGTTTTATGGGACGAACGGAGTCCCCAGCCCTGCTTAGAATCCTGGGTGTTTACGATCCCCAGTCGTCGCGGGGGCGCAGAACTTTGAAGCACCTTTTGCAATCGAGTTTCGTCGGTTGGAAAATTTCGCGGCGATTGTTCGCAAAGAATTAACGGTTCCGGGGCGATATATCCCGTGGACGGTTCTCCCGGGTCGTAATCGAGTTCGCATAGCCGGCAAAATTTCGTTAGCGAGTTTGAACGCCGACGAGCGAAACGAAACGAATGGTCGACGCCACGAAACGAAGCACTCGCAATCGTTCCTGCTCGTGCACAGAACGAATTAGAGTCCCTTACGTCGATCCCTCGCCTAACAGACCCAGGGCGATCGGAGCAGCGGGGGTGAAATTTACGTCGACGGTGTTCGAGAATGGCCAGCTTTTCGTACACGCGGTGAAAGAGAAATTTTGTCAGTTACAATATCAGTTATTTTGAATTTGGTCGACCGGAATAATACGTAAGATAAATTTGAACCGAGCTGGGAGCCTCAATGGTCATAGAACTACGAAGGAATCGTAAAACTTTTGTTACGAAGGATCAGGGACTGGCATCAAGAATGCGTCCGCGCGTAAAGGTGGAAAATAACTTGGACGCTCTCCTGTAAAGTGAAATTATTACGAGACATACATTCAGAGTCGACAATAAACCAGAAGTATCCCACGCAAACGGAGTAAGCTCTACGGTATTAACTCGTATTGTTCGGTCCGCAAGTTTGGAACGAAACGGTATTGTTTCGCGATATTGCCTCGATTCGTTTTGAAAAGAATTGTTCGAGCAGTGTTTGTTTAACACCGTACAATGCGTTTTCACATTTTCTACGAATTTATAAATTGTAAGCAGCCTGGAAATGTTAACGCGTATAAGATATGCAAAGGACAAGTGGCATTTACGCGCGTGAAATATGCACATAAGATTAAAAAATTTGCACGAATGGTATTTACCGTGTGGAACATTAGTCGAACTGAATTTTTAAAAGCGTTTACAGAAACTGTTGATTTAATTGGCATTATTCGCAACTTCTCGGTTCGCTGGATCCACCACGAACAAAATCAATTGTGTAATCGATCTCTGCAGATAGAATTGGACAAAAATTTTTCTTTCCAGATGAGTAACAAAGATGGCCATTTAATATTTAATTCCCGGATGAAATTTTAACCTCCCTCGCTCCGAACACTATAGCGAACCGTCATGATACTCGTTCACAACCTCGTGTACCTCATAGTCGATGCACTTGGCTCGCACCTCATATCCTGCAAGGACTGTCTTACGTTACCCAGAACGAAACCAGTTCCAAATGTTTGTGTTTCGATGGTGACACGATGCCTGCGATTCTCATTGTCTTTGTTCTTCTTTTCTTTTTTTTTCTCTTTTTTTTTTGTCTCTCTGGAAAAGGCACGACCTCGATTCTTTGAACCCTTTGAATGCGCCTGGATCGATTCTCGAAATAATTCTGGGTAACGCGAATCGTCGTCGCAGTGGACTCAAGCAGTTCTCTCCTCATCACGATCATCGATCGATTATCGGACGCAGTGATCATCGAGTCATGCTTCGTCGCCTCTCGAGCTCATTTTCGAAAACGGACAAATTCATGGGAGGGACGGGGGGAGATTCGAAGCGATTGGATCATCTGGTCGAGAATCGCTCGAGAAGTTTTGGGGGAAAAACGTCGAAAAACCTGAACGTTCGTTTTAGATCCCACGGAGCCGATAGATCATCGATCGTAACGACCAAACGCTTTATCGCATCGATTCATAAACGCATTTCATGGATTATGTTTCGCGCGACGACTGTCTTCTTCGTGCCTTTCGAACGCAATTTCGTAAATTGCGATTTTTATTTCGAAGCTTTCGATTAACGTTCGATACTTGCGTATTTTACGATTTTTCGTTTCTTTTTTTATGTTGCGTGCGAGGATGATTCGTCCCGTTGATGCGACAATTTTGGGGAAAATGATTTTCGAATGTATCTCGTTTTAGAACTTTTCGCGGTATACTTTCATTGGATATCGACTGGTTAAGAAAATTCTTTACATAAAGTATAGCAACATCATAAAATATATAAATATATAAATATAATTGCATTTATATAATTAAGTTTCTGTAGCAAAAATAACTTCTCAAGATGAGAACCATTTAAGGAATCCATTACAGAATCATAATTTTATTCGTAAAGTAGCTTCGAAGTTGCTCTGTACGATTCTTTGGATAATTTTGTTGACCAGTTAATGTTCAAGCTTGCTCGCGCGATATTTGAGAAATAAAAAACGCAAAGAGGGGAGGATACAACGGTACCGCGTAAACAAGATAGAGTATCGCGGGATCGGAATACCGAACGTAACTGTTTCGGTCCACTAGCGAGAAGCGCCCACGAATGATTATTGTGCGTTTAGTATTGCTGACCACTCTGTAGCGCCTATTCTGTCCACGAGACATCAGCGAAATACGAAACGCATCCGTGACCCATTTTTTTTTTTTTTTTTTTTCTTTTTCTATCGCATTCGTGCCGCACATTTTGGAACGACAAATCCACATCGAAAGTCTCTAAAATTCTACCAGAAATCCTACCTCCTGTTTCGTCGTAAAGGAAAGTGGCACAGAAAATAATAAAACACTTTCAGGTTTATAAGAAAGTACCAGTGGATTAATATTTCATATTTTATTCTATAATAATCTTTTTATTACAAAGTGAGTAGAGACCTATAAATATTAGTTATCAATTTATGTTTTGATTATTGGGTTTGCATAAAATTATCTTGTCTCAATTTTTCCAACAAACGCAATTATATTGGTGCATCGTTGCACATGGAAAAATATCTCTAATTGCTGCAACGAAACAGGAGGTACGGGGTCCCAGTTGCGTGACTCATTTCGTATTTAGTCGATTTTAAAGAACAGTAAATTTCCTCGCGCGATAACGTTCCAAAATATCAGGTATGAATATTTATACGCAATCCATGTCTGTATTATGTACGTTTGTATACACGCCCAGACACACATACACACACGTACACAGAGACCCACTCACACACGAGATACCTTCTTTGTTAGTTTACACAGCGTTTACTCGTCCGCCTCCTGTACTAGATGCTCGATAAACAATATTACAATTTTGTGTATTTACACAGACGTACGCGTGCGCGTGCATACTATACGCGTACTTGTACTCCACACAGAACGAACAGCACAAACGTACCCTTAGAACGCTGTAGCCCCTACGTTTAGACGAGTAGATGAGCATCTTGCATCCGTAGACCAGAGTCGGGCGTTTTTTTTCTTTTTTTAGATAGCAAAATTTTATCCAGACGAGGAAATTCGAATCAGAGGCGACAGTCAGTCTTTCGTTCGACGTCGATACGCCTGTCTGGATAATAATTTTCGCCCATCTGCGCCGTGTAGACGACACTAAACGCGACAAACCGCGTCAGCGTAGTCGTTGACTTCGCTGTAACTAGCCTATGTGTGTTTTTTTTTTTCTTTTTGTTCTGCCCCTCCCCCTCTTACTGACGGAGGCGAACAAAATTTTATTCGTCCACCGTTGACTTTAGAAGAAGAATCAGAATTCTTATTCTTCGTTCGTTGTTACACGTTTCGATCTGAAATTTTGTTCGTCTATACTTACTATTGCGTACTCTTTTCTGTGGGAAAGACACATCGTCGGAGACACTTCACGCTCGATGTAGACTCAGGTAGGGGACGGTCCACGCGCCGTCCACGGGGACTTTTGCGTCGATGGTGTTCCAGGTCTCGTCGATGGTAAACGACGAAGAGTTTGTGCAACGCTTTGGCAGGATTTCTTTTTAGTGGGGAGGAAATATTTAGGCGAGACACGGAAGGTAACGTTCTACGCGGGAAATAAAACTGCTCAAAGTCGAAGCGTTCGATTAATTGTACATTAAACAATTTCCGCGAGAACGAACCGTGAAAACGCGTCGCGAGCAATTCGTTTCAATTACCGAGTCGAAGGCCGTCGATCGTCTCGTTTCTCGTTGTTTCGTTTCTTTTTCCCGGGGATAGTTTGTCCCCGCGAACGATCGATCGCTTTGTTCTCGAGATCTATCGCGACAGTCGGAAGTTTAATTGAATCTCTCTGGTCGTCGCGAGCCCCGGACTCTCGATCTTGGTGTTACACGATCTCGCGCCGGTTCTGCCACCGCCGCTATCTTTCCCCTCATTTTTATCCATTATCGTCCCGTTTTCCGTTTGTTTGCGCGGGGAACGTTACCTTCTATCTTCGCGAACACGTAATAAATCCGACGTCTGTTTGCTCGATGCGAACTTATCACCACGAAACGAAGATAAATCGAATCGCGGGATTCGCGACAAGCTGCGCGCGAAACTTTGTTTCGAACTCGTTGCGATTTGCAATTCGTCGGCGAGCTT